TTGTAGATGAAGATGCATGTCATCTATTACCATATGCATGTCATCTACCTACGCATATCTCAAGTTGGACTTTGAAAAGTCCTTCTTAGGCACAAAAATATGTGCTGGATGAGATTTGGATGCCATGGGTAAAACTTAAACATGCATTTAAAAAAAAAAAAAAAAAACAATAGCCATGTACTCTACAGTTTCAACCTTGTGGGTCTCATCAGCAATGTGCTGGTTCTGGTTTAGAGGTTGAAATTTTTATATTTCCTGTGTGATCACTATTCCAACATTGTGTCGCAAAAGAGGGTCACCATTGTTCTGTAGATCCTGGATCAAAACTTTGGGCATGTCACAAGTTGCCACATCAGTTACAACTGAAAGGGATACTCTAAGTACCAAAACAACCTTAGTTGAATTAACTAAAAAATATATTTGTTTCTGTTTATGGGACTTACACAGCCAACATGAAAAAAATGTTCCATTATTAATCAGTTCAGTGCCATCACATTGTGTTTACTTTTGAAGTTCTTATCTGTTAATTGAACTGTAATCACGCACACAGTAGTCCTGTGTAGGCTGCAGCAGACTATTACCAGAGAAAGAACACAATAATAGACATTTACATATTAGATCTCTCTTTACAGGAAATGTGTAAGGAGACTGAAAGGACCAGTCTTAATGCTTATGCCTAATTTATCAATTTATATGTTGATTACAGGCTTTTTAGCTGTCTTGGTGAAATATTTTAAAATGTTTACATTAAGGGCTTCTCCATTGCATTCAAAACACATGCTAAACTGCACCCTGTGCTTTTGCTGAGCAGGTTTGCTTATCTACTCGTAACATACGGAATAATGTGAAATGTTAGAACTCCTTGGTTTTCAAAGTACACTTTGTCAACTATGATTGGCTAAATAATATGTCTATATATTCTCTCTTCTGTGAGTATCAAAATGAGAGACTTGTTTTAAATACACCGTGTTGTCCTGTGTTTTATTCTAACCAGCTTCTTCCCAGCGCTGCAGAGAGATAAGAGAAAAGAAACATGTTAATAAGTCTATGGCAGTTTGGGGGCTCTGGGACCCTGATGAATATCCAATCTTATAGAGATTGTGTAGGTCACATGCAGGGGAGGTGTGGCTTAGTCTACAGAAACATTTATTTAACTCCTAGATTGTATTGCATTGAGCAGTTAGAATGCAGCAGCACAATATATACATCAAAACAATCTATACATCCTTGAGAGAGTTGTGTATGCGAGATTGACAGACTTCCTTGAATCCAACTCTGCTTGACCCATTTCAATATGGATTCTGTGCTCGTCACTCTGTTGAAACAGCTGTGACCAAAGTATACAATGATCTTATTACTCCCATGGCCACTACTCTATCCTAATTCTCCTTGACCTTTCTTCTGCTTTTGACACTGTTGATCATCAACGGCTTCTTCTCATCCTCCGTAATCTAGATCTACAAGATACCATTCTCTCCTGGTGCTCTTCCTACCTCTCCCAGCACTCATTCAGTGTTTCTTTCTCTTGCTCTGCCTCTTCTCCCCAATCCTTCTCTGTTGGTGTTCTCCGAGGGTCTGTCCTTGGTACCCTATTGTTCTCAATCTATACTGCCTCTCTTGGTAAACTCATCAGTTCCTTCAACTTCCAGTACCATTTATCTGTCCTCCCCTGATTTATCACCACCTATCTTGACTCGTGTCTCTGACTGTTTTTGTGCTATTTCCAACTGGATGGCTGCTCATTTCCTTAAACTGAACCTGTCCAAAACAGAACATCTGGTCTTCCCTCCCTCCAGTGTTGCTACTCTGTGTCGCTCCAAGTCAATAGCACTACCATCCGCTCTACCTCTAAGGCTCGCTGCCTAGGTGTTCTCTTTGACACCGACCTCTCCTTAATGCCTCATGTCCAATCAATTGCCAAATCCTGCTGCTTCCATCTCAAAAACATTGTGCGCATCCGACCCTAATTAACTGATGATACGGCAAAGGTGCTTGTCCATGCCGCTGTCCTCTCTCACTTAGGTCCCCCATTGAAGGTGCTTTGGCAGTAGACAGGGGTCATCACAGTCTCTCTGTCCGGTCTATCCGGTAGTCACACACAGAAAACTGCAATGCAATGTGTGTTCTGACACCTTGCACTAGTATTAAAGGGACATTACAATCACCTAACACAAAATAAATATAAATCACTGTTTAGTAAACATACCACAAATACCCCTACCTTGTGGCACCCAGGACAGTCTGCCCCCACCCTCCCCCTGCCCCCTCTTAGTACATCACTGAAAGTCTGTGGTTAGTTAATACAATGGTAAACAATAATCTGTACACCAGTCAAGCCATAAGACTTGCTTTTCCCACAGAAATCACACATTTACAGTGATGTTATTACTGCATAGGTTTCTGGGTGGTCATATGCAAAAAAGTTTGACAAATAATCACACTTTTGCCATTTAAACATGAGGCAGAAATGGGATTCTTTGTTAAACTATACACACACACACACACACACACACACACACACACATATATATATATATATATATATATATATACTAACTTTATATGACTTACATAAACTCAGAAATTAGACTTATACTACTGGATGACCAAGAGCTCACTGCAATTTCCACTTAACTACTTACCAGGTTAACATCAATTTCTCCCCTCTCATTTTGTAGTATCCACCTTATCTTTTCCTAGTTGCTCTAAGAAGAGCACACTATAGTTAAGGTGACTAACAAAAGAGAATTACAACTATAAGAAAGGTTTGAACTGGGAATTCCAACAACCAGATCGATCGCCACTGTACTGTAACCCTATGATAACTATGTAAAGCTTGACAATAGTTTCATTTTTTTTTGTACTCCTAAGATTCCAAGGACTCTATCAAATATTTTGTACTCTGCCTTTGGGTTTTTACGTCCAAGATGCATTATCTTGCACTTACAAGTACAGATCCCTGAGGTACCCCACTGGTGACAAGTCCAAGCTTCAAATATATTCCATTAACTACAACCCTCTGTTGCCTGTCACTCAGCCACTGCCTTACCCATCCAACAATATTTGAATCCAAACTTAAAGATTGCAGTTTATTGATAAGCCTTCTATGTGCAACAGTGTCAAAAGCCTTACTGAAATCTAGGTAAGCAATGTCTACTGCACCACCCTGATCTATAATTTTAGTTACCCAATCAAAAAAATCAATAAGATTAGTTTGGCATGCGTTCCATGTGTTTTTAGATGTTCATCAATCCTATCCTTTAACATGGTTTCCTTCACTTTCCCCACTACTGAAGTAAGGCTTACTGGCCTATAGTTTTCCGACTCCTCCCTATTACCTTTCTTGTAAATGGGCACAACATTCGCTAACTTCCAATCTTCTGGGACTACTCCTGTTAACAATGATTGGTTAAATAAATCTGTTAATGGTTTTGCTAGTACACCACTAAGCTCTTTTAATAGCTTTGGGTGTATTCCATCAGGTCCCATTGACTTATTTGTCTTTACTTTTGACAGTTGAAATAGAACCTCTTCCTCTGTAAACTCACGTGTAATAAATGACTCATTTATGCTTTTTCTCAACTGAGGTCCCTTTCCTTCATTTTCATCTGTAAATACAGAACAAAAATATTCATTGAGGCAGTCAGCTAGACCTTTATCCTCTTCTACATACCTTCCTTCTTTTGTTTCTAATCTAACTAATCCTTGTTTTACTTTTCTTTTCTCATTTATGTATCTAAAAAATGTTTTATCCCCCTTTTTCCCTGACTGTGCTATTTTCTCTTCTGTGTGTGATTTGGAAGCTCTTATAACTTGCTTAGCCTCTTTCTGCCTAATCTTATAGATCATTTTACCTCCTCACTCTGGGTTTTTTTTTATAATTCCTTAATGCTAACTTTTTGTTTTTAACTATTTTGGCCACATCTGGGGAGTACCACAGTGGTTTCTTGAATTTTTTGCTTTTACTGACTAGCCTAATGCAATTTTCTGTTGCCTTCAATAGTGCAACTTTTAAATAATCCCATTTCTCTTGGACTCCATTTAAATTGCTCCAGTCTGATAATAACTCCTCTACCCATATTCTAATTTTAGAAAAGTCTGTTTTTCTAAAGTCTAAAACTTTTGTTTTTGTGTGGTGTGACTCAGTCACTGTTCTTATATTAAACCACACTGACTGATGATCACTGGATCCTAAACTTTCACCTACAGTAATATCTGATACCAAATCTCCATTTGTTAACACTAAATCTAGTATGGTCTCTTTACGAGTTGGCTCCTCAACAACTTGTTTTAGAGACAATCCCAGTAGGGAGTTTAGAATATGTGTGCTCCTGGCACAAGTAGCTAATTTTGTTTTCCAATTTACATCAGGAAGATTAAAGTCACCCATGATGATAACTTCCCCCTTCATTGTCATTTTAGCTATTTCCTCAACTAGTAGATTATCTAACTCTTCAATTTGTCCTGGGGGCCTATAAATCACACCTACACGAGTTACTGTGTGATTACCAAATTCTAACGTAGCCCAAATGGACTCTATGTTTGCCTCACTAACTTTTATTAGGCTAGATTTTATGCTATCCTTCACATACAAGGCCACCCCTCCCCCTTTCTTGCCTTCCCTATCTTTCCTATATAAAGTGTACCCTGGTATTGCTATGTCCCAGTCATTTTTCTCATTGTACCATGTCTCAGTAACAGCGACTAAATCTACACTATCTGTTGCCATTATTGCCACAAGTTCATGGATCTTATTCCCTAAACTGCGAACATTTGTAGACATGACTCTAAGCTTATCATTTTTTAACACACTTGCTACAAGCCCCTTCTGTCCTTGTTTTGGGGGACAATTGGATTGATGTTTTATACCCCTTTTGCCCCTCCCCCCTCCTAGTTTAAATACATCCTAGCAAAACCTCTGAACTGCTCACTGAGAACATTTGTTCCCTTTTGAGAAAGATGCAAACCATCTTTTTTGTACAGCCTATCTCCATTCCAAACAGAGCTACCATGAGAAATAAAGCCAAATCCTTGCTCCTGACACCATTCACCAAGCCACAAATTAAAGTCCCTAATACGCATCCGCCTCTCGTTCTGAGTGTTATGCACAGGCAGAACTTCAGAGAATGACAGTGTGGAAGCAACCTGCCGTATATCATTGGCAAAAACACTAAAAACTTCCTTAACCTCTGAAACCTCATTGCAAGCCAAGTCATTTGTCCCTAGATGGACAAGTACATCCAATTCCCCTTCCTGCTTTGCTTGCTTAACAATATTACAGATACGTCTCCTGTCTCTGTGAGCAGTAGCTCCGGGAAGACACCTCACAAGACCACCATTGTCCATCTCCACACCTCTTATAATGGAATCCCCCAACAACAACTGCTTTCCATTAGGCCTCACCATAGTCTCCAAGCCGGTCTCCACAACACCACTAGTCTCATTGCCTCTCTCCACAACACCACTAGCCTCAGTGCCTCTCTCCACAACACCACTAGCCTCAGTGCCTCTCTCCACAATACGACTAGTCTCACTGCCTCTCTCCACAACACCACTAGCCTCAGTGCCTCTCTCCACAACACCACTAGCCTCAGTGCCTCTCTCCACAACACCATTACACTCTGAAAGTGCAGAAAATTAATTATGAAGAGCAACAGACTGTGCAAAATGCCTTTTATCCACAACTCTAAGTCTACCAGATTCTACAGTAATCCATCTGCCATTCCTAGTATGTCTCTGCGGCAGTGGCTTTGCAGCAGTTCCAGTCTGAGTTTGTTCACCAGATAATTTACAAATCTCAGACTTCAAAAATACAATCTCCTGCCGCAAGATAGAGAACTGTCTACAGATTAGACAACAACCAAACCTCCAAAAAGTGGAACGTGAAACAAATGCATAGCAATTGTTACACTGAACTAAGTCTGCCATTCCAATTAGGAGAATAATTTAAATCTAACAAATCTTAACTTTGTATTTATCCTCCTGATTACCTCAGATTACCTCCAGTTTATCTCCAGAATATCTCCAACTACACACTTAGAAACAGCACTCTCCAGAACATCTCCAACTACACACTTAGAAACAGCACTCTCCAGAATATCTCCAACTACACACTTAGAAACAGCACTTAGAAGTAGCAACCAAGCTATATTAGACAAGCTAATGACAACAAGCCTTATATAGCTCCTAAAATCACCACCCACTAGGAATGTTTAACACCTGGATAGGCCTCTGCTTATTTGCAAACAATAGCTAATTAACCAGCAATCAATAACAATTAACTAGCTTAATCAAATCAAATGCCTTATAATTACCAACAGGAATTCAAACCTTGTGCAATCAGTAACCTTTTCCTACAGATGAATCTTACCTGTACCAGTAGAAAAGAAAGCTCTTAGCACAACTCTTAGACAGTTGAAGCTTCTGTAAAACTCTCCAGAATATCTCCAACTACACACTTAGAAACAGCACTTTGAAGTAGTTGATTCGAATGTTCTCCAGGCGAACAGACAGCATACCAGTAAATCCACCAAGTAATCAGACGTATACACAAACATAAGCCTGAACTAGATGAAGGGTACAACAGGAATAGTTTTATTCAAGCCAACTGGCCGGCTTTCATGGAATTCCAGAGTACATTGTACACTCCCACAGAAATTTCTGCAATATGCCCACAGGATTCCTGAGTCACAATGACTCGGCATCAAATTACAGAATAATACTTAAAAAACATATAGGAACCCCCATATATGTTATATCCCTGGATAGCTTGGATCTGAGCTCCCAAGTTGGCCAAAAAGCGCTCAAATATCATGAACACAGCCGAATCACCACCGGGGTAAACATTTGGCTGACCCAAAACAGTTCCACAGTTTCAGGGGTAGCGGTTGGTCCATTTCGGGAGTTCCAAACTGAACTAATCCACAAACGGTTCCCCTGACTCATGGGTAGTGTTTGTTCACCTAGTTTGTGTGAACAAACCTGCCGAACAGCGCTCTCCTGGCTGGACGGTGAAAATAAGCAGGCATTTGGGAAGTTGAGTGTCTGATTTGGCGTTCCAGACACTAGATGACCAAGTCCTGCTGCCTCTTTTCGTGCAACAAGATGGCTGCCATTTTCTCCAGCATGAGGCGTTCGGCCATACGAATAGCGTCCACACAGGTTGAGTACTTAAATTTGCAGTTTTCTTTATTGTTAATGAGCCAGGGGGTGGTCAGTGTTTGGTAGTTTTATCTACTGAACGAGAAAAAATAGAGTTTGTGAACAGAAGGGTGTAATTTATTCACATTACTAATACTATATATATTGCTGAATTGTTTTTATTTAATACTTTTTCTTGTTCAGTTGAATTGCATTTAGATCTTGAAAAAAAAATTGATGTTGAGCAGAATTCAAAGAGAGCACTTCTGTTTATCCTGCACTAGTCATATTCTTGTTTATGAACACTGAAATGATTATAATAATTCCATAGTATCAATCAGTCTATAAATCTAATTATCTCCTCGACATGCTTTATTTATACGTCTAAGACATGATGCAAATGTAAATAAAAAAGATGAATGGTAGAAAACTATAGAAATTTGTCTCTGTGAATTCAGTGGAAAGTGTAATCATTGATTTAATCTTTGACTGTTATGAATAGCTTTGAATCAGAACTTTAATTTAACTGTAAGTTTTATCAATAGAATAAAGTGGAAATCATTTTATTGAAATATGGATAAATATACTTTTCTATGCATTTCAGCTTGAACAAGGACTATAGCCACATGCTTGAGAAATCTTCACTCAAAGTGTGGCTAATCTACTAATTTTAATTTTGACATATTTCAGTTTTCATTATTAAAATGCCTGCTAATGTCAGTTACCCATTATGGATTGGAAAAATTCAAGTTCACCATTTTGATGCAGTATTCATATTCTATTATATTATTAAGGATCATTAAATATAATTAATGGACTCATGCATTAATATTGGTACTTCCAAAGCACTGTTTTCCTCCTAAACTTTAGCTCACTAACCCAGCCACAAGCTCAGATATTGATCCCTTAAGCTGTCTAAGCTTCGCCATCCCGTAGAAACAAGGCACTAGTCAGCCCCTCCTGAGACCAAAACATACTGGGTCGACAAAATTTAGTTCATGTCACTGTTCGTTTTCCACCTGAACAATAATTATTCAGGAAAGTCATTTGAACAGCCAGAACAGCAGGAAAAAAGGGACTATGATTTCTCCTGAACAAAATGATATATAATAGGCGTGTGTGCACTTAACATGAAAGAAGTGGATTATGGTTGAACAGACATATAGCGCAAATTCCAGGTTTTGTTTTTAATTTGTTTTGATCAGAACATGTACAATTGCCCGCATCCTTAAGAGGTTCATTTGTTAAAAGTGCACATATTCATCTTTATTGAATGTTATGTTTTGCAGAACTTGAATCCATATAAGTTAAAAAAATGCATCATATATCTTACATTTATTTTATTAACTGGAAATCATAGAGCTCAGGGGATGAAACATTATTTATTGTGAAAATGTATGAAAACTGTGATACTATCTTGGTCTTATGGAAGTGTAAAAAGTTTGAAACCATCATTTATATGAATGATTTTTACACAGCTTAGAGCATGCTTTGCTGTGGAAGCACAATTCAAATAGTAAAACCAGTCAATAGTTACTTTTATATATAATCTTCCTGAGCCAATATTAGTACATTTTATTAGTGTTATTTATCAGTTCTGCTGCATGAAATATAACTTTAATTGATATAAATATTAGACACTTTAACCACTTAACCCCTTAAGGACACATGACATGTGTGACATGTCATGATTCCCTTTTATTCCAGAAGTTTGGTCCTTAAGGAGTTAAAGGCAAATAAATTTGATCTTAAGGTGTTTAAGAAATTTAACAAAAAATACAGTATTTTGAGAAAATACTCGTTTCGGTTTGAGCAGTGTTAGGCAACATTTGCACTCCAGATGTTGTGAACTTCATCTCCCAGAATGTGCTTACAGCTTTTATGCTGGCAATGCATTAAGGGAAAAGTAGTGCCCAACATCTGGAGTGCCAAAGGTTGCCTATCCCATGGCTAGAGTATACCTTGCAATCCTGTCTCCTCTCCCCCCAAAAGTAGAAAAAAATAAAGTATAAACTTAACCCCTACTCCAACAGCAAGGCCAGATCCATCATTTATCTTGATTTCCACAGTGAACCCGGAGCTGTTTACTGATGCTTCAGGCAGTTTAGGCTATGGGGCATATTTCTCAGGCAGGTGGTGTGTGGAGCAATGGCTGGCTGAGTGGACAGTGAGCCCGCTCATTCGTAACCTGGTGTTTCTGGAACTCTTTCCTCTGGTGGTGGCACTCTTGCTACGGAGTGATCTACTTAAGGGTAGGAAGGTTGTCTTCTATTCTGACAATATGTCTATGGTGCACGTGGTAAACCATCTATCAGCCTCCTAAGGGCCAGTGGTGCCCTTATTGTGTAGGTTTGTTTTGCTGTTTATGTCTGCACACGGCATGTCCCGGGATATTTGAATGTGGTAGCTGACGCTTTGTCTCGTTTTCAGTGGTCCTGGTTTTGTATGGCGGTGCCTGAGGGCAGGTCGAGGCATGCCCGGATGAGATGTGGGTGCTCGGAACAGCTTGCTTAGGGGACTTGTGAGAGTTCCTTGGCTTCCCACACATGGACGGCATACTGTAAGGTTTGGGAGCTGTGGGAAGAGCCCTGGGTTGGCTTGGAGGTAGCTGGGGAATCTCGTTTGAACACTGTACTGTGGTTTACATTTTGGCTATTGGTAAGAGGGGTTTCCATGGCAGTTATGGATAGGTACATGGCTGCGCTGGCTTTCTGGTTTAAGCTTCCTGGTTGGGAGGATCTAACAAAACATTTCGTGAAGCAGCAGTCGCTGAAGGGGTTTAGGAGGGGTCGCAAAGCGCCAGATACTCTGCGGCCGGTGTCCATAGGTGTCCGGTAGGAGCTGCTTCGGGTTCTGCCGGATGTGTGCTTTGATGGTTACTAGTCCGTTTTATTTTGCACGGCATTCACATTGGCCTTTTTTGGTGCTTTCCAGATTGGGGAGCTCATGAGCGTTAACCGGGCCATGGGCCTTTGGATGGACGACGTCCGTCTGCAAGGGGATCAGCTAGTAGTTCATTTGGCCCGATCTAACACTGACGTATGGGGGTTGGGGAAGGATGTTGTGCTGCATGCTCTCCCGGGGTTACCGTTGTGCCTGGATTCCACGAT